AACAAAGAGGAGAAAGAACAAATTTAAAGAGGAAAAAATTATTATTATTAATTGTAACTAAAGTTATAATTTTTGGAAGGCATTCTCAATTAAAAGTAGCCCTCCTCTCTAAAAAGAGTTTACAAAATTTTTTACACCCTTAACCCCTCACTCTTTACGCCTATTTATAGTAATCTTTAATGAATATGAGTCATTGGATTTGTCTTGAGCCCCAAATAACAATCTCCACCTTTGAATTTGTTAGTGAAGAGTTTGCTTTTTGTTCTTCTCTAGCCCATATGATTTTCAAATCCTAAGTCCGGTCCATAGCAAAATAAATCAATTCTGCAGCCCACTGTTTTCATTTTATTTTCTGCAGCACAAGTCTCCGGTCCATGAGCTAAGTCCAATGAAAATCAACCGGCCCAATTCATTCAAACAAGCTAAGTCTGCAGCAGAGCTCCACTTGACTTTTAAACAAAACATGTCCGGCCTCCATTCAAAATTTCAGAATAAAATGATCTGCAGCAAAGCCTCCATTCAAAATAAACAAGTCCGGCCTCCTTTAAAATGATCTGCAGCAAAGCATCTTTGAGGTCCGGCCCAAGTTGCATTTCCATTTGATTTTCAAAACAAAAATCTGCAGCAAATTCAAACAACCGGCCCATATCATTTCATTTGATTTGTAAAGCAAAGTCCGGCCCAATTCTTTTGATCCAAGTCCAATGTCAACAACCACCTACCTTAAAAATCAAACTTTGCAGCCTTGGTTCCGGTCCACTATGGATGTTAAATGGGTGGGTTTGGGTATTAAATGGGCGGGTCATAAATGGGCGGGCATGTTTTGCCCATTTACCCATTTATGGCCCATTTAACATTATTTAAATGGGCGGGTTTTTGTCCACCCATTTAATAAACGGGCCGCCCATTTGCCCATTTAACTATAGTAGTTATATGTATATAATACTTTTGGGGTGTTTTTTGTAAATTTTTAGGGGGCTTTTTGTAAACTATTGTAGGCTTTTTGCAAACTTTTTGGGAGCTTTTTGCAAATTTGTTAGGGCTTTTGATAAAATACCAACAAAGATAGGAAGATAAACAAACAAAGACAGACAAGTTCATGATTGAACCATTTGCAAATCTGGATAAAAGTACATACCTCACACACTTGCAAAATTAACCTCAGATTTCCAAACCAAAAACCAAAAGATCAATAACAACAAAATTGCGAGAATATTTAAATGAATCAAGATAGAAAACACAAGGTATGTAAGGATCTGTATAAGATCAATAACTTGATATAAATGCCATCATAACTATCAGCAACACGATCACGATTAGTAAGGACAATCTACTTAATTACTTGAAAAACTAGAAGAGTAGTAAGTTCGTCTATAAACAAAATAGTAGCACAACCATAGTCCACTTATTTCCCATCTTTCAAATGTTCAGGCATGAACAGAATCATGAAAGAAGAAAGAAAAGACCAGAAAACAAACATAACACTCAGTTGGACTCAATAGCAACATTAAGTGTACTGCAGCAAGCCTCATATGTGCGTCTTCATAGCAAGGGTTAGAATCCGAAATCACCATAGAGACCTCAATATTTCCCCTGCATCAATCATCCATAGAATTAGTTAACTTTGCCACAAACTTATGATATTCGTCATAGTAATGAAACACATAAGAGCATTAAATCAGCAAAAGGGAAATAAGGCTGGTGGACTACTCTTAACTCTTAACTCAGTTGACATCATTCTTGTAAAACATGACACAAGTTCAAAGGGGTAGGTTCAGGTTAAGATTCATGCAAATTGATTTATTCTAGATAAAGCTGGTACATGAATGAGATATGAGTAATTCAGACCTGACAGGACTCCCACCAAACAAGACACAACACAGGTTCGAAGCTAGTTGGTTCAGGTTGAGATGGACACCAAGTTATTTATTTATTTTTATAAAAATGAAAGCTCTGAATTCTATGTAAATCCTACTTGATACAGGTAGCTAACATAGTTGCACTAGTGACTAAACTGGTTGTTGATTGATATACATGTCTAATACCAGTAAAATAGGTGTAATGTATTATGTAATCAACGTGAGCTTGTATTAAGAAGCAAGCATTAAATTGCATGAGAAGCAAACTAAGTGCTAACAACATGCTTGTTTATCAAAATAAAGAGTTATTATTTGATGACGTAGCTCATTGAGGAAGGTTGAGCTGAGGGATCCTGATCAATTTACAAAAATTAATCTGATAGATCAGTTACTTTAAATTTGTTACAGCTTGTTGCTTCTTGCTTTTGGATCGGTTACTTTAAATTCTGATGATTATTTTTTTATTTTTGGGCCACTCTTTTAATTGAGTGAAGACGGAGTTTGATTACGACGAAGTTCTTTGTTGTCTTGAGCTATAAAATTTTGCTAGAGAATTCTGTTGAAGCTCTTTATTAGGAAGAGCTTGGTGACCTTTAATAGAGAAGGCCATCCATCTCCATCTTTTATTCCTCTCTTTCAATGTGTCTATTCACTAGATTATGTAGTTTGAGGAAAAATGACATACTTAGGAGCTAAAAATTGAAGAATATGTATGTAAAATGTACAAAACATGCACATACCAAGTCCAATTGCATCCGAACCCTTCATGATCCTCAGCCTCCTACAGGTTGCAGTGAACATGCTGCAACGTCAAGAATATTAGTTAGAAACAAATTATCAATTTGAAAAGCCATAAATGTATTACAAATATCTTGTTATGTGATATACATCTTCTACTTCTCACGAAACACAAGACTGTAATCAAAATCCATCATAATTTCAATCATTTTTCAACTTTAGTTTTTCCCTATAGGGAAGCATGCTGCTAAGAATACGATCCTATTAAAACTAACAGCAATGAGACAAAACTACTAGAAACTGCCTCACAATTTAAGCATTCTATCTAATGTATTAATGGTGACTAGTAGGCACCGCCTTTGTAGTTCGACCACCACATTTCGACCTCCACATGCAAATGAAAGAACCCAAAACAGATACATAATAATTTCAGGACAACGTTACATGCGGAACGGATTTCGACAATCCGCATGCTAGCCCGACTCAAACGGTAGTCGGTAAAGGCTAATCAAACCCGTTGAAGGCTGGGGGTTAGCCAAAAATCCTAAAGTCAACACCTAACACATGTCGCCGGGTAGCCTATTCCCGTAACAATGGCAAAGTCTATGTATTCGACATCATAGCACGAAGCCTAAGGGAGTTCATTCCCTTAGCACAACATTACATGCGGAACGGATTCCGACAATCCGCATGCTAGCCCGACTCAAACGGTAGTCGGTAAAGGCTAATCAAACCCGTTGAAGGCTGGGGGTTTGCCAAAAATCCTATGAGTATTATGGTCAATCATTTCAAACGTGATGAGGAATCATAATAAAGATAAAATCCCTAACTCCCAAAAAATCCAAACTATCCCAGGAATTACGCCTCAATCCAGCTAAATGCACAAAAGATTCAACCTTTTATTATAAAATGCCATAAGCCCCTTTCCTCATAAAAAAATCAGAAAATTGGGGAAAGTTACCTGCTCAGGCGAACACTGCTCGATCCAAATAGGGCACTGCGATTGGACGCCATGGACGAAGGAATCGACACCAGAACAAGGGCAACGAGACGAATCAGCGATTGAGGCAGCGGAGGAGGCGGAGGAGGATCGATTGGCGTCGTAGGTTTTGGGTTCAAAAGGCACTTGAGGCGGCGGAGGAGGAGGCGGAGGAGTGATTGAGATCGGGATTGAGGCGGAGGAGATTGGGATCGGCTCAGTTGCCCTAGAGAGAGAAAGAGGAGATGGGATCGGGTTTTGTCTTGTTTTCGTTTTGGGTATACGGCTGGGCGGGCAAACGGGCAAATAAGCACTGCCCATTTAGTGCCCATTTAGAGGAATATAACATGGACCCGCCCAATTAGACTCATTTAATTAAATGGGTGGGTTTTGGGCGGGTCAAATAATGGGCGGGTCGGGTGGGTAAATGGGTATGGGCTAAAATTGACATCCCTACGGTCCACTATAGCAGATTGTGATTTTTGCATAAAAGTCCAATTCATTTTTAAGCAACCAAGTCCAAATCCGGTTCCTTGCACACATGTGATTTTCAAAAATTAATTCTCTTATTTCTTCATTTACTCAAGGGACTTTGTTGAGAGATGAGATTTTTGGGATTTATTCTTTATTAACCTGCAATTAAAGATAAAAGCAATTATTAGTATTGTATTTATTCATATAAAATAGATAATGAGGGTATAAAATTGTAATAAAATGTGATTATCACTTTCTTCCTTACTAATTTATATTTTTCTAATTTTTTCCTACTCCTACACTTTTGTCACTCTTTATATAAAGTTTTCTTCTCTCTAATAATATTTTGCACACTCTCATTCCACCACCAACTCTCTTTACCGTCTAGGAGAAATTTTGTATTTTTCGAATATGTCAAGGCAACGTTAGCCATGATGGTGTAATTTTGGGAGGGTTGAGGTTAAAGTTCTTTAAGGGTTTTTTTAGTAGAAAAAAAGATGTTTGGCCAGATAATGTGAAAAACTGCTCAAAATGCAGTTGGTTTTTTGGAATTAAAATAGTTAAGGTAGATTATCTGCAAAACTCAAGTTAGGGGGGTTTTCTGAAATTAACCCTTTAAAAATAAAGTTAACTAGAAAAAAAAAGGGTAATTTAATATAAAGCGTTTACTCCCAGCTAGCCCCGCTGTATTATCAATTTGTTCCTGCTTACTCACATAAACTATTTTTGATTGGTCTTATCTCTCCCTCTAAACTATTAATCTCCTTGTTACCTCCTAAGCTATTTTCAATCTCATTTTACCCTCTGAACTATTAATCTCCTCGGTACGATGTGCTACCGAAAATAGTTCAAGGGATAAACAAGATATTAAGTCAATAGTTTATGAGGTATATTGAGACTTCAAATATTTCAAGAATAAGCAGTGACTAACTTAGTAGTTTAGGGGGGCAGCAAGTAGAGTTTGAAGTCAATATATAATTACAAAATGACTTAACTTGCATCCACGTCAACATTGACCCAAAAAATACTAGAACTTCTTCACCAAACTATCACAATTTTCGTAAACTGAAAAGAAAAAAAAAAGGAAACTAAGAAACCAAAATCCACGTAGCTTATACCTATTATCTAACTACACCCTCTCTAATTTGTCAGCCTTAACAATAGGATTGGCCTTGGCCAGCGAATCTCTTGCAGCAGCCTTGAAATCAAAACTGCAACGATGCTCCTCTGGATGTCGATGCTTCGTACAATATACATTGCCACAACGACAACTGAATCCTTTCATCAAACCGATCTTCTTATTACAGCATCCACATCGATCCTCGGGCTTCTCTCGGGCATTTGATTCATCGAAACCTCGAGCGGGAGCAGCAGAGGTCTCCTTCCTACCGCTGTTAACTGATGTGTCAGCAATCTTTTCGGGGGTCGTAGTAGAAGCTGCCGGTATCGATACTGATGATGCTTGCCGTTTGAGTTCTTGAACGCAGGCGTGCCTGTAACACTGGGAGCATAGATTCCGGGTCTCTGCACGCGCGAAGAATCCACAACCGTTTGCGCATAGGCGTGGACTGTTGCAGGTTTCCTCGGAAGCCATTGTAGAGTACCTGCAATTAAGAAAGAACCAAGCAAACTGTGAAATCTTGGAGGGAAGAAAAAGTTTTAAAAAAAAAACTTTATGTGCTGTTTCTATTATTACGACAAGAAGTTGCATCACCTTAGATTGCGAGAAGAGATGGAGACGAAGGGAGATTAAAGAGTAGAGGACGAGAATTGAACTGATCGATCGATTGGAGAAGAGCACGAATTAGAGATTATTTATAAGCAATCGAAGGAGTCCTCTACATGTTGAGAGCTGCTTTGCTGAATCCTGGGAGGAATATGATTCTTTAGTTTCCTGGAGATTGTGATCCGACAGGAATAGGATTTCTATCGTGGAGGGGATTTTGGACTCTTGAGGTTATAAGAACACCTGTTTATGATTTTTTTTTTTTTTTTCTTTTTCTTCAGGCAAGGAAACGGATACATAGAATCTTTAAGTAAGTATGCAAACTTTTAGTTTGCTAAGCTTAGACCCTAACAAAACCAAAATTTTGTTTTGGCGAGCGCATTAGATGTGTAAAATCATCAAAGATCCGAGAAGACTTTTAAAAGATTACTTGCAATAACTAATTCCGTAAAGAATTATTCTTGAAAAGTAAAATTAAGAGATTTTATCTGAGCAAATTGCAGTTGACAAACAAAGCTTTCCGGAAATAATTTAAGATTTCAACAAAAAAAAAATGACTGGTTTTTTTCCCCCACCTCCAAATGAGTCATCAAGACAAAAGATAAATTAAATATACACAACACCCCTGTATGTATGTAATACATTTTTTAAGCCATTCAAATTCCATAGACATCCAGTCACTTGTAGAATGTACACAGCAGATACAAAAGCCCACGGCCGTCTTAAGTTTGTCTCAGTAAAATATATCATTTAACAAACAAAAAACCCAGAGCCAAACAAAACAAAGCAATTGTGCGTCACGAATCTATTTGATCAAACTGGGTCTCATATTTGCATTGGATAGTCAAGGAGAAGTGTCACCACATTCTAATATATAAGTAAAATCTTTTTATCACATGAATTTACATAGTAAAATATTTGATATACAAGGTACAAACTTTGGAATGAATTGAATCAACTCCGGTGACTCTTTCTTCAGTAGACACATATAACGGGATGTGTTTCATGAAACCGGAAAAAATATTTCGATACAGTGCTTGTGCCGCTAAGGGAATGAATTTTTCGAATTAAGGGAATCATGTTTGACCTCTAGCTTCGATCCAAAATCCAAATTTTGTACATGAGATGCCTCTGCTTCAGCATGCCAACAAGATGCCAGGAAAATATCTCATGGAAGTCTTTTGGAAATCCTCAGTATGTCAGCTTCTCCCATCTATGTTTGTGGAGTGAACTACCTTTAACATTACTGTAGGAAAAAATCTACCCGCGTCCATATGTACTTCTAAACGAACAACCTGAAGATATTGATGGGGAAATGGGGGGAATAAGAAAGTGTTTTTTCTCTCAGCGTGGAACTAATGTTTAGGTAAATTTTACAAAACTGGCATGAACTTTGGGTAGGTTTTGCACAAAAACTACCATAAATTTTTCTTTTAGACAAACATTAACATACGCTTTCAAAGCTGCAGAAAGTACCATGATTGGAGATGGTTGCCAATGTATCCAAGGTCTAAATCATCCTTTTATATATATATTTATAACAATCTAACAAGCCACAAAGTTGATAAGGATAACAATGAATATACACGAGGAAATTGACCAAAACATGTCATATGTGAAGCATGTGATAAACTTCCCTAAATGCAGCTAGGTTAGTGAAGTGGGGAAAAAGAGAGTGATTCTATCTAACAAAAAGATAAGTTATAAAACCTCAAAGTTCAAGCTAGTTTTGCGAAATTTACCCTTCAACGGCTTATAGCATTAAGAACTGTTGAAGGGCCATAAAAAGTAGTTAGTTATAAAACCTCTTCAATGACTTTTGCCTTCCATGGCTTCCTTCTTCACGGTACAACTAGGGCATAGGAGGGGACCATCCCAAGGTCTTAATCTCCCAGGTTGTGACAAACCGGCATGTACAGAGATTCCCTCACCAGGTTTCATCTCAACTTGACATACAGCACATAGAAAGAGCTTGAACATATTGCATATTGGATACTCTATATCTAGCCTGCATTAACACAAGAAACATTCATAATCATGATGATGAACAAACATCTTTAAATAAAAATCAAATGCAGATGACTAAATTAAGCAATCTAACGGCTACATTATTAACTTCTAATGCAAAACATAGTAAAACCTCTGACAAAGCATTGCAGATCCATTTTCAAATATCTCCTCCACGGTGTCAACCTCAGAATAATCTTTATATGAATAGGATGATGACTCAGATGACTTTTTACGGAACATAGCTTTAAACATGCCCATCCCTTGCTTTTTCGGTGGTCGAGGAGGGGATATTTTTTCTGGAGGTAATATGTCAACCACGATACAGGTAGTATCATCTTTTAGTCCCTTAAACTGTACAGCTTCCTGCAAATCAAAATAATAAGTGAGTAACAGAAACACTAGCTGAGGCTTAAGAGAAGGTCAAATTGTGGGTACTTTAACAATTTGAGCAGCTGCCACCTCTGCTGGCAAACCACGAGAACAGTTTAATGCTGATTCGAAAGATAATGCATCCCATACGCCATCACTTGAAATGATAAGCCGACCACCAGCGTTTGATAGCTGTTCAAATCACAAGGCATCATAACTCAGAGTGCTGCTCTAAGTAAGAAGAGCAGACATGTATACACATGCATGTACTTATGCAGATAAAATGCACATGCATGTACTTATCCAGCCAAAACACAATAGATTAATTCTACATAATAGATTAATTTTATCTTCCGAAAGGTTAATAAATGCAAAACGATCACATGTATACACATGCATGTACTTATGTAGACAAAATGCACATGCATGCAGGTACATGCCTTTTTTTTGGGTCCGAGACTCTGAATATACATTGGTTAAAAAAGTTTATTTTCAGAACAAAAGTAGGTTTAAGTTTAAATAAGTTGAAGTGGCTGCATTTGTGGTGACAAAAACAGCCTTATGAGTCATTAGGAGTACATTTGTACTGATATGGAGCTTGCATGCTGCTGATTTTGATTTGTTTAAAAACCTGAGCACAGTTTAATCTGCATGAGACACATTTGGTCATGTTGCATCACTCAAGCATAATTGTATACAGAACAATTTCTAGAGTTCACCAGGAAATTGGGTAGAGTCAAATCAGTCAAAGCAACAGTTATAATTACTATATAAGTATATTGATTTCAGAGGAAAAAAAGGGTTAAAGCTCAATTACTAGTATTAGTGTATTCTATTAGTCGCACCAATTTTTCATGCATTCTTGAACATGGTCATGTGATCAAACAAGCTGGATTTAATCCCATATCCATCTATCTACCTGACAGACCTAAGTAATAACAAAATATTGACAGTTACCTTATCGATATTCACCATAATAGAACACGGGTCACAGGTCACAGCAAACAATGCATCGTATCTAATCAGTATTGCAAAAAATATTCCGATGCAACAAGCCAACAGCTAACAAAATGTTACTGGCTTTTGGTTCATAAATTCAGTAAAAATTAATAAAATGAACACCAGTTTTGGTGATGAAGGGGGAAAAAAGGATAACTTGTAATAAACCATGCAGAAATCAGGATAATGAACAAACCTTCACTTGCTTCACATGTGGAATAGGAACAATGAATTCACCAACATCCATATCTCCAATTGACCTTGATAGACACAAGCCACCTGGCCAACACCTGAGAGGGCCAATCTGCACATAAATGTTTGCTATCATGTCAAATTTAAATAGCTATAATTTAACCATGCTAACAGATAAAACTTGCTTTAGTACAGATTATGAAAGAAACATTGAAACTTCATAAGGGTCAGAGTGTTTGCCAATTGAAGCAAAATACAAAATGAATTAAGAGAAATGTGAATCCTGTCATGGATGAGGCAGTTCACTAAAAGATAGCGCAAAAGAACTTACATGTATTTTAGTTGAAAATAGGATCAGGGAGTAATTTTTGATATGGCGTGAACAAGAGCGAGATAGATCATATACTGGGCCAGTTACGCGGAGTGCCTGATCACAGCTGATGGAGCGTTATGAGATGATGGACTAAAGGTAAACGTAAAGGGGACATGGATTGAGAGTGAAAAAAAGATGCTTCAATATTAGTTTAGAAGAGATGAAGGATTTGAATTTGAGTTATTGACTGTTTATTTTGTAGGGATCTTGAGAGCAGTTTTTGGTGTACATCACATTCATGTTAGCTTGATGGAAATGTTATTTACTGTTATTGCTAACTTGGAAGGTCATTCACTTAAAACATGATTGTAGGTACACAAGTCATAAACAAAAGGTAGATGTGAACAACCCCCGCCCCCCGCCCCCACCCCCACCCCCCCAAAAAATAAAAATAAAAATAAAACTGTAGGAAATGGTATGATAAAGATTAGATTATCAGATGCATGCGTACACGTGCACTTGCAAAGCCTGTATGAGGAGCATATGTGCCATTTCACTTCGCGATAGCTTACTATTAGCACTAACCATACCCTAAAGCCAACACATTTACATGAGACTCAACTTCATAGTCAATTCAAGTTTTGATAACATTAGTTTCGGCGGAAGCAGTTAGACAGTCGAGCACAAATACAAAGTCAACGAATCAGCAAATGAAAATGGAAAAGAAAAGAGATCACTTATAAAGAAGATCTCAATAAGCATACCTCCGCTCCACCAGCAACATTCAGTCTTCCAACTTCACCTCCACTTGTAGTTACCCGCTCAACCCTGTGAGAAAATAAACATTGATAAGAAATAATTGTATACAGCATTTGAACAAATTTAAAGCAGCATTTGTCTCAATCTTACTCTTCTATGTTAACATCCAGCCTGTGATCTGCTGATAGACAATAAATTGAACCTTCAGCAGATTCAAGTATGCACCGTGAATCACCAACTGATGCTACCGTTACCACCCACCCATCTAATATCACAAGTGTAACAGTTGTTCCTGAGGTCTGTGCTGCAAAAATATCAATGTTATGATTTTAGATATGTAGAGCAGGAGTTGCAATTAGGACGAACATCTTAGAAATCAACAACTGCAATTAAATAATAAAACCTAGATTTTAAAGTACTCGCTAACTCTATGAGCCTCCCCTTCTAACTATTATTATCTAATGCAGCATATCTTGAAATTTCCGGTTTACAGGCAATTATGCTAATTGTAACCTGAAACCCAGCATTTGTAAGGGGCTACCAACTGTCAAGTCTTGGTCTTGGATTTCCAGTCAACAACATGACAGTATGAAGATTGCAAGAATAGTTGGAATATGCAATACCACCAACCTATATGACATAGATACTTCAATCAAGGAGCCGTACTCACGTCCGAAACTTGGGTATTTGAATACTTGGCAGATACTTATGCTATGCTAGTTTCACATATTTGAATGCTTGACAGGTCTTGGTCTTGGATTTTTGTTTTGTTTCTGGGTTTCATATTTCAATCAAAAGAGAGAGAAACAAAAAGAGGGGGGGGGGGGGACAAGCTTTCACTTTCATGAAGTTTTAACAATCAACGGACTCTCTGGATGGCAGGAAGATCGCCGGAGGAAGGAACATCTGCGCTTGAATCTGAGGAGCCGTACTCATATTCAATACTTAGATATTCGGATTATTAACAGATACATGTGATATACAGTTTCACATATTTGGATACTTGGCAGGGCTCGGTCTTGGATTTTTGTTTTGTTTCTTAGTTTCATGTTTCAATCGAGGGAGGGAGGGTAGGGAGGGAGAAAGGAACAAGCTTTCACTTTCATGAGGTCTTAACAATCAACGGAGACTCGTTGGATGACAGGAAGATCGTCGAAGGAGGAAGGAGCAGGTAGGCTTGAATCTGGGCAAGAATGGCTGCGGACCTGCGGTTGAAGGAAAGATAGAAGAGGAAATGAAGGGACAGATGATGACGTGGAATTTTAATTGACAAGTGTCAGTAATTAAGTAGTTAGATGTATTGATGATGTGGTACAGTAGATATAATGGATATTTTCTGCCTTAAAAGGGATTTTGTATGTTATAGAGTAGAATTTTCGACATTTGTATGTTATAGAGTAGAATTTTAGACATTTGTATGTTATAGAGTAGAATTTTAGACATTTGTATGTTAAGAGTAGATTTTTAGACAATAGAACTTGAAGGCCCTTAAAATATAGGGTTAATTTAGGAACAGACTTTAACTTGGGGATTTTGCAGAAATTTCGATACTTTTATCGCAGAACCCCCAAATGAACCCCACCCACCCAAACTATGTTATATTATATATCACTTAAGTTGACATAAGTTTCTCTCTCTCTCTCTCTTCTCTCCTCTTCTCTCTTCTCTCCTCTATTGTTATATATTATATTACATATATATATAAATTATATATATATATATATATTATTTATTTATTTATTTATTGGGGTGGGGGGTTACACTCAATTTTTGGATAAGAATATGCCAAATTGACTCGTCACAAACAAAGCTTCTACATTCCTTAAACCATGTCTGATTATTAGAAATTAATATGTTTCCTTAATAAATATCAACTGCGATATTGTGAAATACATATCAAATCTTTTTAAGAAATTGCAATCACCATTTCCATAAAACATGCAAGTGTAAGCATCATCTATTGCTACATTAAAAGAAAGGCAATCTTTTGATTATTTGTTTGCTACACTTTCTATGTTACATTTTCAAAAAGTTCCAAAACAAACCCTCACAACATACAATACGTCAAAATTAAATTAAGGCACAACGTTGGGAAAATAGAATAACTAGTTGTAAACATACAACAATCCACATTAACCCCCCACCCCCACCTCCACCCCCTTTTACTAATGCGTGGCTTGTCCTTCCTCACACTGACACTCTCTGGCTTAAACCTCTCTTGCCCTAATGCTCATTTCCTCATTCCCTCTCTTTCTCTCTCTAGATGTCTCTCTAAGTTTATGGCTCCATCTCTCCCCAGAAGACAGTGAGGTTATCATATGTTTTTATGGGATTTTATTCTTTTTTGCAGGGGATTAAAATGCTTTATTGATTTTTTATATTTTGTGTATGAATTGATGCTAACTATTTGTTCTTGATTTAGGGATAGGGATGGATGAATCCTACACTTGCATGTATTACCTTCGAATTCGGGTAAAGATATTTTGTAAAATTTATACTTTTTATAGGAACTTTTGAGATTATAAATGCTTGATATGAAATATTTTAATTCTATGAATTGGAAAAGCAAGTGTATATTTTTTTCCTTTGCATCATGCACACATCATGTGCACCGGAAATCTAGCCTGATTTTTAATAAGAGATGTTACTTTTGGGTCCAAATCGGTATGATCAATGGAACAAGTACTGTGTTGCTTACTTAGTTAGAACCCTAAGAAAATAACAAATATAAAAATATTGTATCATTACATACTTATCAGATGAATTAAGGATAAAAAATCTCTCATGTCATTAAGTATAAATCTCTCATGTCATTAAGTATGATTATGTCAGAAACTAATACAATATTATATAACACCATGCTTGCATGAACATACCTTTCTCCTGAAAGTCTTTATCCGTCTTGACAAATCCAGCAACCAAAGCTCTTGGTAAAGCAGCCAACCACTCGTCCCTGCTAAGATCCGAAGGAATGGCACCTACAACATTATTCAAAAGGTTCTCCTTAACATATATAGCAGCTGCAGATCCGTTATGCCCGTCAAACAGCTGCGTAGAAAATAAGCACCATCAAAGTCTAGGTATCACATAACAATGGTACAGTGGAAGCCTACTGAAACTATACAGGATGTGTATTAACAGTAGTATTCCGGGAAAGCATCTAAGCAGGAGTACTGTGATTAGAAAAAACACCACAGTTGTTGTTCTGAAGTCAGAACAATGGGTAGCAATCATAACATACATTTTCTAGTTTGAAATTTCAGTGGTATGGATCACCCAAGAAAATAGTATGATGGAATTTGGAAGAAAAAGAAAAAGGAACCAATATGTCAACATCAAACACAATTTTCCACAATCCAACAAGATAAATACAAAGAGATACATTTTCTTATTGACATTGTACTGCCTAATGGTGCTAGCCACTTATATTAAGCGTGATATTTCAAAACACTTTTATAGCGCCACTTGGAAAGCGCTAGTCTTGATTCGCAAAAATGAAATAGATAAATGGCAAAAATGGCCATATGCCCTTAATCAAGAGAAGTCTAGCCATCTCAAATCAAAACATGAGGTATATTCTGACCAGTAAATAAACCCCCATTGGCTCTCTCAGTCAAATGTTAACGTCTATAAGTTAAATATGCTCCAATATCATCACCAGAATATACTTCGTGTTAACGTCTATAGAGTTCTTTGCAATCAACTTAATCGCCCGAATCGTACATTCATAAACAAGCTCATTTACCCTTTTGTTCAATTAAACCCCGGTACACCACCAATAAAACATCTAGACGAAGAAGAAATCTCACGGAACTCCTCATCTTCACACAAAATTACAATCACATTAACAAATTTTTCTCCGGTTTAAACCTAAACATGTCATAGGTCGGCAACCGGAGCAAAAATTGCAGCTTCCAATCTGGGGGAAAAACAAAGAATAAAAATAAAGTAAAAAAAAAGAGAGATTGATCGAAAGTGGCGATCTCATCCCCACTTTCAACTAAAATTACCTTATATCGTTCCATATCGTCATACAAAAATTACAACCAAACATTAACATGTTTTTTAACAGATTTTAATTTTACTATTTTAAAATTAAGCATGCTTATCCAATTACCCCGACAAAAATCCCATCGGTTGACCTCAAAAACCTCAAGAAGATCAAGAACAAGCGAATTACCCCGAAAACCGAGAAAGTGCTGATCCCATCGCCAGGAACTCGCTGGCACTCAGTCTTGAGGAAAGTGAAGTCCTCCCCTTTCTTGCTCTGGCTCGCTTGGCCATGGAGCACGTCCGGCTTCTCGGTCCTCCTCATCCGCTCGACAGCCCCTCCTCTTCAGCAGCACCGCCAGCGGCCACGCAGCCCCCATCAGCCGCACCGCCGGCCATCAGTCCAATCAGAAACAGCTCTCGATCTCAAGAAACCTAGCTTTCGAGAGACCTAAGCAGACATCATGAGCGGCGGCGGCGTTTCTTCGGACCGATAAATTACCCCAAAATTATTTAAAAAATAGGAGTGGGGCGAAACTGTTTTTTTTTTTTTTCCTTCCCTTGTTCCCTGCTTGCGGTTGAGTCCGGCCTCTGTTGTGTTTGCTGCCGAAACGGCGGAGGGGCTAGCGTATGCCGCGGGGGCCCACCTGGGCCTAACGTGCGCCGCGAGAGGAGGCCGGGATGAGCTGGCGTCGCATGGGAGAGGGGAGGCGGTAAGATGCTCCGCGGGAGCAGGAAGCGCGTTGGGATGTTTTCAGGGCCCGGATGCTTTTGGTTTCGCTACAAAAGTACGGCGACATTTTCCTCTTTTAAACCGTATATACATCAAGTGGGAAAAAATTTCGGAAAATTGTGTGAAGGCCCTAAAAACAAAATCTTCATGCGCTTCAGCCCCTTTAACTTTTCCCCACACGGTTCAGCTCTTAAATTTGAGAGCTATATTCTGCAGCCATCTTTTAGCAATTGTTATATGTCAACTAAGCATAGACAGAGAATAAAAAATAAAGATCCCTGTAATGCCCTTATCTCATCTATTCTTTCATGTTAAATCTAAAAGCAAGTTGAATTAGATTTAACATAAACCGAATTAGAGTTAACATGAACCGCATTAGACTTAACATGAACCGAATTAAATTAGACTTAACATGAACCGCGTTAGACTTAACATGAACCGAATTAAATTAGACTTAACATGAACCGAATTAGACTTAATATGAAAGTATATTTCATATTAAGTCCAATTCGGTTCATATTAAGTCTAATTTAATTCCTTTTAAGTCTAATTTAAATCATGTTATACCTAACACGACTTGTTTTAAATCTAATTTAATTCATGTTAAGTCTAATTCAACTTGTTTTAAGTCTAATTTCATGTTAAGTCTAATTCGGTTCATGTTAAGTCTAATTTAATTCCTTTTAAGTCTAATTTAAATCATGTTATATCTAATTCAACTTGTTTTAAGTCTAATTTAATTGGACTAACATGAACTAGATAAATCTAATTTAATTCATTTTAAGTCTAATTTTAATCCACTTTCATTTTAAGTCCAGTTTGATTCGTGTTAAGTCCAGTTTAGTTCGTGTTAAGTCCAGTTTAAATTATTTTAAGTCTAATTTAAATTGTTTTAAGTCTAATTTAAATCTTGTTAATACTAATTTAAATCATTTTAAGTCTAATTTAAATTAGACTTAACATGAAATTAGACTTAAAATAAAATAAAATAGACTTAACATGAATTATATGTTAAGTCCAATTCGGTTCATGTTAATGTTAGCCTTGTTAGGTCTCATGTTTATAAACCTACTTCCTAATCTTGTTTTGATGGTTACAAACAATCTCTAACAACGTGTGTCGAGTCTTTGCATTTGTTTTGTTAGGTAATCTACACAAATATTAGTCGGGGGTTGGATAGAATTGCGTCATAACGATCATATCAAATGGAGGTTGGCGGAAATAGTTGTTACGAAGCTATTTACACTTCAAGTCATATTCAAGATCAAGTTTCATCCACATTCAAGACAAGCTCATTGACAGGTAATAATTGTTAAAAGAGGGCTGCAGAACATAAATCTCCAGTTTAATGGCTGAACCATATGGGAAAAAGTCAAAGAGACTGCAACACATGAAGATTTTATTTTTGGAATATTGACACAATTTTCTCAAAATAGATATGAAAATCATATTTCCAAATACAGTTTGAGTATTGATAAATAAATAGTTTACTATGGTCAATCGATGTGTGTGTAAGAATAGTATTTGCTCCTTATACGTATGATGTTGGTCGGGTCATTGTGCAATTCGTAATAAAGACATAAAGCATATGGAAATTCTATTTCTTAGGGGCTGTTTGTTTGCCTAAAAAAAGAGGGAAATCAAAGAAAAAGAAACCTATTTCTAAGAAAAATAAGTTTTGGGATTGTTTGGTTGGCTAAAAAAAGAAGGAAATCAAAGAAATGGAGATGAGATGAGATGAGTTGTCACCTTATTATAGGATGATGTGAGTGATTTTTTAAGAAAACTTGTTTTGATGTTGTTTGGTTGGCGGAAAAAATAAGGAAATGAATTATAAGAAACATATTTCTTGTATTATGTTGTTTTCTTTTGTTTGTTTATTTCTTAAAAATAAGAAAATAGATGAGATGAGATGAGTTGTCATTATATTATTGGATGATGTGACCCACACTTAAGGAAATTGTTTTCCTAGTTTTTTGGGAGGAAAACAAAGAAATGAAATGTTAATGAGATGAGATGATTTGTCAGAATCTTATTGGATGATGTGAGTGATTTTTAAATATGAGATGAGATGAGTTGAGTGATGTTGTGGATGAAAATAATATTTTATTAGATGTGGTGGATGTGATGGATGAGTTGTTGGATGAAAATAATATTTTATTAGATGTGGTGGATGAGTTGTTGGATAAAAATAATATTTTATTAGATGTTGTGGGTGAGTTTTAGGGATGGAAATGTGTGAAATTGTACCTTTTAAAATTTCTTGGTTTTCATTTCTATTTTTTGGTTTTTTAGGAAATAACCAAACAGGCCCTTAGTGTGTTTGAGTATAGACAAATAAATAGAACACTATGAAAATTAAAACTTAAAAAAAAAATCATACCCTCTAATGGCGCTAAGTACATTTTTTACATGGGTAGGAAAAATTATGCAGGAGATATTTTGTCAATGAAAACTATTGTACACGCTTTTAAGAGGTTTTTTATAGGACATTAAAAATTCAAGGCTAAAATGCATTTAAATACCTTATCGTTTCTAAAAAAAAAGCACTTATATATCCTAAGTTTCAAAACGGGATGACCTGTTGTAACTCATTGTATTCATCCAACACGAAAACTGGGAGAGAGAAGAAGTGGGGGGGGGGTTTTGGGGGGGTTAAGTAAAACTAGGTTATCACTACTGTAAAAGTTTTTGGGCTTTAACAATGGGGGGTTATTTAGGCAGAATGGTATTTATGTCTTTTAAGGTTAAATTTAACGTCATTAGGCAAATTCACACGACGAACAATTCAAGTTTTTTTTTAACTCCGTTTTGAAACTTGGAGTATACAAGTGATTTTTTTTTTTTTTTTTGGAAAAACAATTAAGGCTTAAAATGCAGTTTAGCCTGAATTAAAGGGGATTTCTTGATAACTGCCAAATTAAGGGGATTTCTTGATAACATACTATGTCATACTAATTCCTCACCTCACTACGTTAATAGTTGGAGATATCAGCCGAGGGTCCAAATGGACAAAAGCAAATGGATCCCAGTGAAGAATCCAAATGCCTAATGGTGGGGTCCGATCATAATACTAACCCACATCCTTGGCTTCCAAGTGGAGCGCCGGGATCTATAATTTTCCGTACTTATATATCCCTATTTATTTTTGGCAGTATATAAAATATACGTTACGATTCTCAAAACTTGTATTTATATACCATTACTTATTTTGTCAACACTCGTATACAATGTTTTAAATACGTGCACTTAAACACCCACAAGTTTGCATAATTAAGGTTATTTAAGTACACATTTTTAGAACTTTAGAATATATAAGTGCACGTTTGTTATAACCCCTAAAAACGGTAAATATTAATCTCCACAGAGAGGTCGACACGTGTCTTACACTTTACCTAACCAAACTAATTCACAATCAAGATAACGTCCGACTTGGCACGGCCGACTTGATTGGCTGACATTAGGGCTGAGCATGGTTCGGTCCAAACCGAAAAAACCGACCGAACCAAACCGAACCGACCCGAAAAAAAGGGCTGAGCATGGTTCGGTCCAAACCGAAAAAACCGACCGAACCAAACCGAACCGACCCGAAAAAATCAGTTTTATGAGTAGGACGGTTCGAGTCGGTTTGAAAACTTTTTAACCCGAACCGACCCGAACCGACCGAATATAGTGCAATACTACCCATTGTGATCTTAAACCCTACCCGACTCGTCCCCAAAGAGTCAAAGACTCAAACCCTAAACTCATTTTCTAAATCATTATGGGTTGAAAACAATATCATTATATCAGTGTTTAATGCTTCATAATCTCCTACTTTGTTGATATCTTTTTTTTCTTTAACACGGTTTGTTGTTTGATAAAAAGTTTGATGAAGTTAGAACCGAACAAACCGAACCGAACCGCACCGAACCGCGTAACCGAGTCAAAAGGCGGTACTTCTCGGCCAACCTCCCAGTTGACCACCAGCGATACGACTCGGCCCACTTATCAGCCGACATCTCGCGTAACCGAGTCAAAAGACGATACTTTTCGACCCTGGACCTGAAGAGTTGAAAGACGACTGTTACCTCGAACCCCTGACCAGCCGACTACTCTCGCATTAATTGCCCTGACAACATTATCATTACCCAAGCCCCCATAGTCTTTGTGACTCATATCGGATCCAGTCATCACCAAGCACCTGCTGTCATTCCCACAATAAATGACCATGTGACTCACATCATCACCAAGTTACCTTCTTGCTCCTCAAACCCACTACAAAAGGAGCAGCACTGCAAGAGGTAATTCTCTCTGACCCTTTTTACGTAACTAAGCGCTAACCATATTACTTCTTCACTCAAGCCCAAAAAACTGACTTGATCGTCGGAGGAACAATTGAAGAACCCAACTCTGTTCTTTTACGAGTTCCTTTATGTGCAGGGAAGAATAGCAAGCTCCAGAACCATTCATCAGGAGAAGTTAGAGGACCCTAATAACTCCATAAACTTTCAGATAATCCTATGTTTGATAATTGACACCAACAATATTTTTTTAACTTTAGGGCATATAAGCGCTGCCAAAATAAGTAAGAGTATATAAATACAAGTTTTTAAAACTTCA